TAGAAATGTTATAATAATAATAATAAATACTTCAAAACAACTTAGATGTATCATTTGCTAATATATGAATACACACATGAGGGAAGTATTCCAAAAAACAGTATAATAACCTGTAGTAGCTATAACAGCTTGAATCCAAAGGAACTAATTCTGTGTTCCAGCATGGGCAGCGCACTTCTATTTCTCACTTTCTCACTTTCACTTTCTATTTCCCTATTGTGCCACATGATGAAACATAAAGGAGTTTTAGAAACAGTTTATGATACAAGAAAGGATCTGTTGTTCAAACAAAAATGAAGAATAATCTAGATGTGCATACTCAAGCATGCCTACAGTTGATCCTAATGAAAAAGCCTGAGAGTTACCAGCCAAACTCAGTGTATGCCTAACATCCACAGGCACAGAATACACATACAGAAGAAGACAGAAATATCTAATGAAGGGATATACAGCTTGCTTCGTAGATAAGATCCAAAACACCAGAGTTGAACTTAAATCCCACAGTACTAATTTCTGGAACTGGTCTTGTAGTAGTCTTGACCACACAGGAAGCCCACTTGAAGGTATCAAAAGCCACAGGTATCAAGAAGACTTGACAAGGTCACATTTCCCTTTTGAGGTCAGGGCTACCAAAGTAGTTTCAGCACCAAACTATGACCTAAAGCAATAGATTCACATGATCCATTTCATTCAAGAGCTTCACATCTCCTGATAAAGCTTAAAAAAATATAAGTTGCTAAAGTTCATTTGACCTGTCTCTAACGTGCAAATAAGCAACAATATGATATTGAATGTATTATACCTACAGTAAACTGAACTATATGAAGAATAATTCCCTCATTAGTGAACTTTATGTCTCATTTATGGATTCAAAACAGAACTATATTATGAATAATTGTGACATTTGATTGCTGGCCATACATCAAGAGTTCCTGCAATATTTTACTACTGCTGAGGGAATCTTGTTCTCTAAAATCATGAAGCACACCAAATACTTCAAAACAAGTTAGATGTATCATTTGATAATATATGAATACACATACCAGGGAAGAATTCTAAAATGCAGTACAATTCCCTGTAGTAGTTATAATAGCTTAAATCCAAAGAAACTAATTCTGTGTCCCAGCATGGACAGTGCACTTCTATTTCTAAATGAAATGAAAACAACTAAATGATCATAAGCCAGGAAACAGATACAGAAGACTGTTCTACTAAAAGATAGTTTACATAGGTTCATACTTGACTATCTACTTTTCTTCCTATATGCAAGGAAAAGAAAATGAAAGTGTGTGGTATCCTATATCAATATGACTAATAATTTGAACTAACCTAAGCTTTATCGCGGCCCATGACCCTTCTCAAGCTATCTAATCATTCTTTCAGTTTGTCCTAGTCTAACAGTAAGGGGCAAAAAAACCTAATACACTATACTTTCTAGATCTTTGCAACTTAAACTGCCACAGAAAATGCTGGAGAGATGAGATTTTTCCCCCTGCTGCCCCCCATTTGCCAATCTGCAATGCTGTCAAGTGATGGGAGCTCAACAGGGTTGGCTCGCTACTGGAAAAGCAGAATGACTGTATGAATAAAGTGTACCTGCTTACAATTCTAATGGAAGAATTTGGCCTCTGCACCTGCCAAAGCTGTTAATTAAAAGGTAACCTTGAAATTCTTCAACTGAAAGTCAAAGCCATTCATGTGAGGAAGTTTACACTGGAACTCATGTATTCTTTCTGTGGCTGGGACTATGACAATATCAAAGCAGCTTAACTCTTCAGCAAAGGCAAAGCTTCCATTAAATCAAAATTCTTTTTCTGCTACATGACATCTGCATGACCTTGTTAGTCAACAGAATCATTCAACCAAGATCAGTGCTAAATGTTGGATTGTAGGGGAGGTCACAAAAATGAACATTTGGAAAAAAGCAAGTTATCTAGCTGTATCTAATGACCAAGAGTTTCACTAGCATATAGGTATACTCAAAAAGAGATAACTGATAATTTAAATAAACACACAATACACTTTAAAACAGAAATGAACATGGCAATCAGGTCTGTGTCTGTAGTAATTGCTCATTTCTTCAAATGTAATTAACCAAGTTGGTAGGAGGGACGCTCCACATAGGCAACCTCTTAGAAAGAACTGCAAAAGGGAAATATGCAAAGTGGCTTGCATTAAAGAAATCTATAGTGTCAAAGGAACTGAATGGAAGTGCTATGTATAAATGGATATTCAGATTAACTCTGCTTAACAGAATATAATTATTCAATTTTCCTGATCAAAGATTACCTTATATTATCAAAAGATAAGTCACTCTAATAAAAGGCCATTTGGAGCACAATGCACATAGCATTCTATAGAATAAAATTGTTTCTGCATGATTCTACCACCATGTCTGTGCCAAGCAGAATGCCTGCAGCCTTGCAATCGAGAATACAATTTGGATTTTTCCATTCTCAGTCAAATGTCTTCAACTAACAGGATTCTTCTCGCCTGCTGTCCTTGTCACATCCTTCCCCATCCGAAGTACATTCAATTTATCTGCCAGTTGTAGTTGGCTGCTTCTCTAGAGCAGGGATGGAGAAAGTAGGTTTTTGTCAGGGAATCTGTATGAAGTTCTCTTGGTGCAAATGTTAGATGTTTCCTTGGAGACAACAGGCAAAGAGAGCAGCCACTGGTAGTACAACAGATGAATTTCTCTGGATGTTCCTGGGCTCAGAGGGCTAGCAGTAGTGCCATCTGTGCCACAAAGCAGTTGGGCAGGGGACAACAGAAGACGTTTATGGAAGTGATGGGTTGGTTCCTGTTAGTCAACAAACATTTCACAGAAGGACCCTGCTAGTAGAAGTATATGATAGCAATGAGGAAGAAAATTAACACTTTCTTCCAATCTTCTATTTCTTCCATTTGCCATCCATTATGTCATGCCCACATTTTTCAGCTACAATTTTACCTTCTTGTTTTAGAAATAACAGTAATTAATTTTTCATAAAGAAGTGCTGGTGCTGTATCTGTCCTTGATACAAAATGTTAAAACAAGAATAGTTGTGAAACTGCAGGGCAAGGCTCTATTCCCTACATCCAGAAAAGCTTCCAAACTACATAAACTAGGCCAGTGCCACCCTGTTCATGCACCCTGGACCTGTCAACAATGTGCTGAAGTAACAGAATATACCAGTATCTAACAAGTCAACAACCTTCACACTTCACTGTATTTCTCACTTCCCTGACACTTCAGAGGCTGACAACCCAAAATGTGATGCTGCTAGTTCTCCAGCCCCCTCTCCAAAGCACAGGGCCTTGTCCTCGCTCTTTTGCTCCATCTCTGAAACACAGCATGAGGTAAGGAACAATCTACTCCTCTTTCCATCTCTAAATTTGGAAGGAAGACTATAGAGAAAAGGTGATACGAGCCTGAACTATCTCAGAAGTACAAACCAAAATGCTACAGAAAACAATGGAAATGACATTACAACCACCCAAATACGTTTTACAAAATAAATTCATTCTGTAAGTCCACAGAAAAAAATTTAGATCTAAACAGCAATTTTAAACTATTTAGTTCTTTTTAAAAGTGCTATTTTCAGTAATACTCTGTCAAGAAAGCAATTTTATGCACTGCGTTTAAGATATTAAACAGTAAGATAGAATCAGTTGTCTCAACTTCTACAGAGATTTGTTACAACTGAAACAGAATTTTAAAAATCAAGGCAGTTAAAGTAGATGTGTAGACAGCAAAACTCTTTCAATCAAGTCAATGCTCAACAGTATTGAGAACAGATAGAGCATTTCATCACCACTTAGTCCCTAGCCATAAAACACAGAACACTACCCAGCCAGCACAGAATACGCACCATACAGATCAAGATAGGGCATATTAGTTAATACGGCACATTGCATGAAACTTTAAAAAGATTTCACCTTTTGCCAGCTCTTGCCTTAGCTTCAGAACAGCACCAAGGTCACAATCAGCACTTGCATACGCATGTGGTACAGTAGTTTTAGATTCTGTTAGCCTCTTAGCAATAACTCTTCTAATGTTGCTAGCAGGGACTTCAGTGAATGTGTCCTGTAATACAAAAACATTTTACATCACAAATTGGATGATGATAAGCCTAGTGAAGTAAGTGCATGACAATAAAAGAGAGTCTTTAAAAGTCACAAATCATTTTTATCACAACGAAAAATCTTCAAATCTACTTGAAATACTTTTTAGAAATTTCTTCTTGTTGGCAGACATAATGGATGTCTTTTGTATCAGGTTCCTTAGGAAGACATTGGTATGGGATAATAATGATGAAACCCTTCTACACTTGACGGCAGTTGTCTGTGTTTATCCATGCTAATAACAGACATTAGCAATATTTTCTTCCTTGCTTCTTTCAACAGGGAGATGATAGGTTCTTTTTGCTGTTTCCTTGATTTGTATCCTGAATAATCCTTTTCCTCCTGTTTCACAACTGGGTCAACTAACTTAGTATTTTACAAACTTACAAAATCGTACAAACTTGCATGTATTATGATTGGGTCATACACCAAGGCAATCAAACTTACATTTATTATTGTACAAACGTACATGTATAAAACTTCCATAACTTTTGGGATACTCAGCTGTTGTGTCTATCATTAATTAACATAATTTATAACCCTAACAAGGCATGCAAAACAGAGTACAAAACGAAAGAAACAAATTCAAAATGCAAGCCCAATTAACAGTAGATGATACGACTCTAATGGCAGAAAGTGAAGAGGAACTAAAGAGCCTCTTGATGCGGATAAAGGTAAACTCAACATTAAGAAAACTAAGATCATGGCATCCGGTCCTCTCACTTCCTGGCAAATAGATAGGGAAGAAATGGAGGTAGTGACAGATTTCATTTTCCTGGGCTCCAAGATCACCACAGACGGGGACTGCAGCCAAGAAATTAAAAGACGCTTGCTCCTGGGGAGGAAAGCTATGGCAAATCTAGACAGCTTACTAAAAAGCAGAGACATCACCCTGCCAACAAAAGTGCGTATAGTCAAGGCTATGGTTTTCCCAGTTGCAATGTATGGCACTCAGCCTTCCTTATGGTCCAGCTTTCACAGCCATACATTG